CATGAGGTGTGGCACTGGCAGGTGTACAAAGGCGGAAGTACTGCAAATATAAGCAGAGAGCAAGAGGCCACAGAACAATAATACCCCAAGCTTATGGATCTCAGTCAGCAGCACAAAAAAAAACCCCTTTCTTATATCATCGTCATCAGTCTCCCGGTACACCAGCAACTGGCAGCACAATACATTGGCTGGCCATTTCATGGTTACAGTCTGTGATCTTTCCAAGGGGGTTCATAGAGCAAGGAGCAGAAGTAAATATTGCTTCAAACAACATTAACTGTCAGCAACCTTAGCCATGTAAGGTATGTACATTCTTCCTGGAAAACCTGTTCTCCAACCTTGCTCCCCACGTACACTCTAGAAATTAGTGAAAAGAATGTGATAGAATAACGATTGCCTCTATCTTCATGCCTCAAAAAGTATTGATGTTTTAACCATCCCCTTCTTATCGGGAGAGAGGGCGCAGTGACACCACCACGGAGGAGAAGAGATTAGAATGTGATTGAAACCTAGTCTCAGGAGGAAGATCTATTTTCTTGTAATGTCTCTTTTCCATCTCTCTTCCCTATGTTGAATGTCTCCCCTATTGTTTGTTTATTCTCCGTATGGTGGTCTCCCTCCCATCTCCCATGTTACTTCCCTGCCGTATGTGCTGTAGCAGCAGCAGTGGCAGAGTGTTCATGAAACTGACTGACAGTCCAATCTAGGAAGAGCCTGAATATTGCACTTTAGAGAGCAGGAAATCCATCAGTTTCACTGACACTAACGGGAAACACAACAGGAACACTATCAATCCACCCTCCTTCATTTAAGTGAAGGACAGCAAGTTTCAAGAGCGCTTCATATTAAGATTACTTTTAAAGTCTGAAAATAGGTCGTGCCCCCCATTACCATACAGTGGTTCTAATATAGTATACTGCAGTGTTCCCCCTTGCTTAGTGCAGTAACTCACATAGCACTGCAAGGTAATTGTTGGCTAAAGTTGAGCTTTACAATAGCCTATTTTTGAAGACAGATGCAATATTAGTTTTAGTTAAAAGGGTATGTTATCTCCTCCTCATTATAACAATGCTGCAAATAATGTATCATTATATCATATATCAGTAAATATAGTAATACTTTTCACCTCTATAGCTTAAACATTTTAAAGTGAAGTCTGACCATCCTTGTCAGGTAGGTATTATTAGCCCATTCTGCAGATGGGAGACTGAGGCACAAGAGATTAATGCTCTAGTTTTCAGAGCTTCTGCGTACACTCAGCCCCCACTGACATCAACAAGAGCTGCTGGTGCTCAGCATGCATGAAATCAGGCCACAGGTGACTTGTTGAAGGAGGACTGTGGCAGTTTCAGGAACAGCATGTAGATCTGACTCTCAGCCCTGTGCTTTCATGACATGATCATTCTTCTCTGTGTACGGCTGCATAACTCATTAACTTGTTCAGATGGACTGGGGTCTTCAGTGGGCTGGCAACAGGATGTAGCAACTTTCATTTCTAGGCAATTGGTTCAAATTCACCATAGGTCCAGAATGAAGGAAAAGTAATTGATAAATTATGTGAAATTAATTGGTGGTCTCAGTTCAGCTCTGGTTGGCAAGCTCAGAAGAGAGGCCAAGGACTGCATGGACAGGCAGACTATGAATGCAGTAATATTCTATTTATCTATCTCTATATCTTCTAAGCCAAGGGTCGGCAACCTTTCGGAAGTGGCGTGCCGAGTCTTCATTTATTCACTCTAATTTATGGTTTTGTGTGCCAGTAATACATTTTAACGTTTTTAGAAGGTCACTTTCTATAAGTTTATAATATATAACAAAACTATTGTTATATGTAAAGTAAATAAGGTGTTTAAAATGTTTAAGAAGCTTAATTTAAAATTAAATTAAAATGCAGAGCCTCCCGGACTGGTGGCCAGGACCCAGGCAGTGTGAGTGCCACTGAAAATCAGTTTGCGTGCCACCTTTGGCACACGTGCCAGAGGTTGACTATCCCTATTCTAAGCAATCAATCCTAATGACTCATCATTTCACAATGTTTAAAATAGTTTTAAAAGCAATATACGGAACAGAAAAGAAAGTGTAGGTAGCAACTGGTGATTAAAACAGAGTCCTTGAGGTACAATATGCAATAGGATAGGTTGTCAATGAACTACTAGAGAGAGCAGTTAATATTCCAACAGGATATAATGAGATGCCCAAAGTAAAAAGGTCACATTCATTAACAAAGCCCATCAGCAAACTCTGCTGCTGCTGAAAACGGGAGTAGTAAATACACAATCCTCTCATCATTTAAATGACAGATTACTGAATGGCTATAGCTGATAGCTAATTAGTGTTTCTCTGTGAACAGTCTCCTTGCATTAATACCTTTGTATTACCTCAGTGATCTCTTTATTAACCAGTTGTGGTGCTGGAAATAAACAGCATACAAACCGAATATAGTGTAAAAAGAAACAGCAAAAAACCTCAGTGGTTAACTTTCCAGTGACAGCTCCAAATTCTCTGGTGAAGGGAAATCCCTTTGAAAAATAATAGGGCCATTCTCTTGTACCCCACTGTCATTGTTTCAGGATAAGTTCTATCTCTGAGCTCTCTCTCAGTCTCTTCATGGGTAGCCTTCCACGTGCCAGACCCAGTGCCAACACTTCTCAGAGTGGAATCCTGTGATTTGTCCCACTTATAGATTGGGTTTCTAGGTTACAAAACCCCTGTTTACCAACTGTGTTTCTCCAGCAGATCCAACTATATTTGGCCCCTGCTACAGGCTTCCATTCAGGAACTAGACGAAAAGGCAGTGATCTTGATCTTTTTTTTCAAAACAAAACATTATGTATTCATGCATAGGACTAAATCAGACAGGCAAGGGTTAGAACAACAAAAGGTCTACACACATGGCATCTTATCTAAGCATAGCATTTCCATAGCAAACCTTAGTTAGGTCCAATTTAGCCCTTACACCCACTCTCCTGGGGACTGGATTACAATCTTTTTTGCAGACCTGCCTCTGCCTTCAGTTTCAGGGCCAGTGTTTTTAATAATTTCCAAATTCTTTCTTCAAACTTTCTCTCTGCAGGGCTCTGGTCCTGCCATAAGCTAGGGGTGGTTGTGCTCCCCTTGGATAGTGACAAAAGAGCAACATCTTTTGACACCCATATTGTTTGTCAAGTATCAAGGATTTACAACCATTGTCTGCCTTTCTGCAGATGTGTAAAACCTCCCAAGACTGAGTTAACTCTTTTCTATCATGCTGTCTAATACATGGGTGCAATCAAATAGAAGAGGTACACAGCATATCAATAAAAACATTTCAGATCTCCCATCTTCCCATCTTCTTCACACTTTCTACTACACATTTGTATATTTCGCTGTTAGTAAATGACTTTCGGCTTGGGTCACTCCTTGGGTTCCAGCAACTTCTGAATACAAGACACAGGCTGTGAGCACCTAAATTAGGATACAGAGGTGCAAGCAACCTGAACCCACCCTGTTCTGCCAAGGGGCTGGAAGTGCAGGTGTAACCCACAAGTGTGCAAGGCTGGCCAGAGATGGGGTGAGTCCAGAACACCTAGAAAATGATTGAGTGCATTCCTTGGACAGCTTTCATCTCTCACAGTGTCCCAGCTAGAGTCTAAAGTTGCCCCCCTTACGTGAAAATAATTTGCAGCATTGATTTAGTTCTGCCATAGAAGTGAGGTACCTGTGGTCCTAGAGGATATATCTGTACAACTATGTAGTCCCTAGCACACAGAGAACCAGTATGAACTCAGTGGCTAGCTTTGATGTCAGTGGTGGTCCTTGGTGAGGCATTTTAGGTTCATGCTAGGATACGAACTTCCCTTCATTCCATTACATATGTTCACTAATAAAGGGCCATTTGAAAGTGCCCCTCAGTGCTATATTGTGTCTGAGAGGCTGGTTAATGAAGTACTACTGCTGCTTTGAAATCCCCTTACTGAAAGGTGCACTTTGCAATAAGGGGACCCAGAGCGACTGCTGTATAGGAATCCCTCATCTCGTAGCGCTAAGCTTGTCTCTCTCACCAACAGAAGTTGCTCCTATAAAAGATATTTCCTCACCACCCTTGTCTCTCATACATAAAATTATCAGTTGTGAATTATACACAGAACTGGGCAAAGGTACATTGATTTTCTTATTTTTCGCAGGGTAGCAGTATCCCAGCTTTCCCAGTGATAGAAAGCCTTCACTGTTTGTCACTAATTTCTGGTGAATACCCTTTCCCATGTCTCAAGGCCTCTGGATACTGCTTTGCAGGATGTACAGTTCACAAGCCTACTACAAAAATGCAAACCCTTTCAGGCAACCTAGAGAAATCTCCAAAGATTCTAGAAATGAACAAAAATATATTAGTTGTCCAGTCTAGGTAGCTCACACCTGCCATTGCAAAAACCAAACAATCCTCTTTTGGGGACACTGTTCACCTAATGCTGATCTTGCACCACTCTTACCCCTGCATTCTCCATTCACTTCAGTGGAGTCACTACTGATTTACACAGATGTGAGCAAGATCAGAAATAGACCTCATATCTGGATTATGATGGTTTTTAGTTACATGCAGCACAGGTTTTCATTCAATACCTTTGTGACAGTATATGTATAGTACGATAGTATATATCTGTTCAGTATATCAGACTACATATTCCCCCAAAGCCTCTAATTTTGCTGGTGCAATTAGTTGTACCTACAACTGCACCCACTTTTTAATTGCACGCACAAGCCAGTTGTGTTTCTGACTCAGTGCAAATCTGCCACTGTACTACTGAGGGCACACTGAAATCTGACTAAAAATCAGGGCCATAACGTATAATACATAACACTACATACTATAGCACTATGTGCATTTCTGCTTATTGCAGTAATGATGCCAGGATTACGGCTGAGATGTCACTTCTATTCCATGGTTAGGAGCATGCATCACTGATATGAAGCACTTTATTAGGAATTGTTTTATACAAAAATAAATAATTTATATATGCTCTTACCTCCGTTAATTATCTTTAGGCATCTGTTCCTTTTCTGGTGGGTTTCGAGTTGGAGACTAAAAAGATGTATACAATTTACAAACAGCCATGAACGCGACATGAGCAGTTAGGACAATATAGAATGTTGAAAAATCTAGTAAGGTCACAAAGTCTATATTTAGAGTGAGTGATTGTTTTTACAGAATGTGATATGTTAATTTTTAAAATTCTCCTTTAAATTCTACAATATCCTTTCTATATTTCTGGCAGCCACTTAAGTAATGTTTTTCTACCAAGGTGTTAAATATGGAAAATGCTATGGGGAAAACTGTGAAACTTCTATAAAAATTGGTCATTTTTGTTGGAGAATGAGCTGGGGTGGGTCTGACCCTTGCCTCGGACTATACAAGAGTCCCCTCCTCTTTGTTTGGGGATGTGCAGCTGCAAGGATGGAGTGGCATCTGAGGGAGATTGAGAGGTTGGGGAGTATTGTAAAGACACCAGGCCTCTCTAAGAACATCCCAGCCATGGTCTTTAACATCTTGGGTCTTGGTCATTCCATGGAGCTTAAGTGATGCCTCCTCCCATTCCTGCCTATGGGATAATTCCAAGGAAACACTATGAGTTTGTGAGCTCTTCCACTGAGTGGCATTCACTTTGAATTATTTCACTCCTAATAACAGGGAAAAGCAAAGGATTTGAAATCCAATGACTGGCTCCATATTTCATGAACACTTTGAATTGGTGGATGTGTTCAAAATAAAGGTGTGTATTTTATGGTTTAGGCCCATCTCTACTTCTTCTCTGTCTTATGGATTTTTGTATATGCATTCCCTTCCCTATCAGAATGGAGTCCACTGATTATCAAGTGAGTGAGTTTACTGAGATAACTGCCAGCAGTGGGAATAGAAACAAGATGCTGGTGAGAGATGAAGAGCTGGGGAAATTCATCCAGGTAATCAAGATAGTGCTCATAATCAATAAGCTAACAGTTTGTGAAAGAAGCTCAATGCTATTCTGAAGGCTTTTTGGATGAAGCTATGGAAGCAATTTGGTCTTTGGCAGACAGTTGGGCAAACTTAATTAAACCATATATGCTTTATTGCCATGGGCTTCCACAGGTTCAGATTGTGAAATCTGAAAGAGTATATACTCTAGGATTGCTTTACTCCAGTAGGTGACCTGGCCATGTGCAGTACATTGGGGAGTTGAGCTGTATTGGAGCAGTTATAACAATAAGAGGACAGAATGTTTAATATAGCAGCACATGGTGAAATAAAGACAGTCCTTGGAGATTAAGCTTTTTCTCACAGAGAAATGAATAAATTAACATGCACTTTCATCTTTCATATTTAAAAAGTCAGCAGTGTCTGAAGTCATAATTATGTGCTGGCTATTGAATGGCCTATGTAAAATGACTTCCATCCAGTTCCCAGTGAACAAGCACCAAAGGACAAAACAACCATCAAAATTGCCACAGCATGTCACCCACATTGGTGGTCTCAAAGGTGCCAAGGCTGGAATGGGCATTAAGACTGAGTTACCATCTCACCCCGGTTGTGGCTCCAGCAGAATAAGTTAGAGGAATATTCATGGGGCAGAACTGTGACCAAAGGACTACAATTTCCAGGTGTATAAGTCTGACATGTTTCCGGAGACCTATGTTCATTCAAAATGCAACTATGCACACTGATGATACATATTCCCCACCGCCCCCGAATACCTGGCCTTTTGGTCTTTTCAAATACAATTTATGTTAACTTCAGATGTTTTGGAGCCTCTATCTGGACCTGTTGTTGCTTTCCATTTTGCAGACAGAGGCTCTGCACCTCTGATCAGGTAATCTCCTACATCACTGGCGGCAGGGCCTTCAGCGTCAGCACATGGGGCAGCACTGTTGGTCTGGGCACAATAGACTACTGTTGTTTAAAACATAAGTGCATTACTGAGTGATAGAATGGTTCTACATGCCCATCCTTGGCACTAAGACTGGCAACGAGGTTGCTAATTATGGTAATTTCAACTTCGATGGCAAATTTTATGATGTGGAAACTTGTCCACCCAGAACTGGCCTGAGAAGAGTTCATCCTACAAAAATTACCAAAGAGCCATCAGAAGACAACAACAATTTACAGGCAGTTCAAATCATCATGAATCACAACTATTTTCTTTAATCACCTCTGATCACTTTGAATCATCTCATTTATTTTTAGAACATGATTGTGGATGATTTTTAAATTATGGGAAATGTCACACAAAACAAGGCAGTTTGTATGTGGTAATGAGTAAATGTTGCACAAGTGCCTTTGGCCAGATTCTTAAAGGTACTTAGGTGCATAATGGCTTAGTGGGATTTTCAGGAGTGCCAAGGAGCCTAACTCCATTGATTTCAATGATAGTTAGGTGCCTATGTGTTTTGAAAATCTAAGGCACCTTTTTGTATCTTTAGGCACCTAAATACCATTAAAAATCTGGCATTTAGGAGACTAAGTCTCATTGACTCTCAGTGGGACTTTTAGACTCCTAAATCACTTTTGAAAATCGCTCTTCAGCTCCTAAATCATTTAGGCATTTTTGAAAACTTTACCATAGGAGGTTTTCTTTGGTGATTCATTTTTGTCTCCAGTTCTATAAGAATGCAACAAAAATGTGATCATATCCATGCCTTAATGGACGTCATTTTAATTGTGATCAGAGAATCAGCTTTATTAAAAGCTAAGTGTTTTCTATGTTCATATTCGGTGCTTGAGCAAATAGCACGTGCATTCATATGCCACACACTCACTCCTTATTTAGTAGTAGTAATTGTTAAAATCAGATTAATCCCACTTGCCTTTCCAGAAAAAAAAATCAAGATAAACTCTCCTGCTGCCCACAAAAGGCGTATTTTTTATGATTAAATCATATATTAATAGCCACAAAGTATTACTTGGGGACCCAAAGATAGGAAGAACTGAAATAATGTAGTAGAAGACTGAGCCTGACCCTGCTTCAACTGAAGTTTATAGCACAGTTTCCACTGAATTTAGTGGGAGGAAGATCAGCAGCAATATCAAGAAATTCAAAATCACATTTTGTAACTATAAAAAGCAAAATTCAGTTATCCCCCTGCTCATTTACCAAAATAACTAAACTCCTTCCTGAATAAGTTTATGGAATAATAAGTGTGCATGCTAAATCTAATCTTCAAACGTGGCTACTGAATAGGACATCCAAATCTGAGAGTCTAAAAGTGGGATATGGAGATATGGTTAAGGAGTCTATGTTTGAAAACTGGTATCTCCATATTTCAATTGCAAATGAATTCAAACATACAAACGTGGGAGCTATGAAAATATCTATACGTACCAGTTTGTTAAATGGTGTTGTGTACAGCAGGTCTCTAAAATGAAGGTTTTCCCCACAAACTAAAGAAAGAGAAGATATGCTACTGTCATTTTTGTTTCAAGCCACGAATTAACATCTGTTGGGTGGACAGAGATGTAACCTTCTAATGTCCCAGCCTTACACTCATCATTTTGACAATTAACTCAGTGGGAGTTGTGTAAGAACTCAAGGATTAGGTCCTCAACAGTTAAAATCTGTTTCAAAAGGATCTGGGATCCCTTCAGGTTCTTCCCAGTTTCTCCTCCTTTTACGTCTCTGCCTTGTCATTCCCACCCAAGAAGGGTTGATGAAGTTCTGTCTTATACCCATTTTGAATGCCAGCTAGAGAGACTCACTTCAGAGCAATATAAGACACTGTAGCAGGATTCATAGATGTTAAGACTCGAAGGGAACATTCTGATTATCTAGTCTGACCTGTCTAATGCACACAATAGAATTTCACCCAGAATGGCAGGGCTCTCTTGTTGACCTTGAAGGTCAGGTGGGAGGTGTGGTTCATTAAGAGAGAGAGTGGCTCTCAGGAGAGAGGAAACTAGAGAGAACTAGGAGAACAGGAGGTCCTGGAGGGAAACACTAGGAGACAACCAAGCTCAGAGAGAAAGCTTAGTTTGAGGTCTATATCAAGTAACTGTTTGTGAACTACCAATAAAATCAAACCCTAGGAAGGGTGTGATTCTGAATACTAACTCAGGGTCTGTGTGCTCTGTTGTGAAAGCTGATAGGGATTCAACCATTTCACAGGCGCAGTGCTGTGGCAATGTGGGGACTTTCTAAGCTCCTGGCAACGTGGGGACTTTCAGACTGAATCCTCTAGGTTACTACTATATCATTCAGCTAACCAAAATGCATTATTTCAATCTAAGGAATCAGCTATATAAACTGGAATTTCTGTGCAGTAGTTTTTGCCAGAGGGGCAATCTGAAAAGTACCTATGCTAAGGTCAACTTTTAAAGCTAGTATCACTTACCATTTGGATGATGTTCAATGGTGATTTTGTCTGTCAGGAGGAAAAAATATTGTTAGAATTTGTTTTACTATCTTTCTGGCATTAGAGCAAGTGTGTGTGTGTGTGTGTGTGTGTGTGTGTGTGTGTATTTTCCCCTCTTTGGATTGGATAAATATATAGGTGTGTAAATATAGATATCTTTAGTATCGCTTGTACACTCCCACACCCCCTATAGCTATATGTGAAGGACAGGTTTTTTTTTCTTTCTTTTTTTTTTTAAAAAAAGCAGTTTACTATTCTGTACTAATTGTCAAAATTAAACCGCAGGACAAATTGAACTATTTTTCATGGGATTTCACATACACTCCACTTAACAATCAATTAGCATTAATATTTAGGAACAGATTTTAGTTAACTGAGTGACTACCTGTTTAAAGGTACCTATTTTATATTTACTTTAAAAATGCTCCTTGGTACTCCAAAGAGTACTCAACGAATACTGAGTTTTATCAAAATTACTACAACACATTAACCATCAAATCTACGTAAGTGCACTGTTTTCCAATGTAATCATGAAAGCAGTAGTGTGGGTGATTTCCTGATTAGGGGAGCAGAGAGAAAAATAATTTGCAAACATTTTGTGATTTAGAAATAGAATTTTGCATTGGCTGTGTTCACATCTTATTTTTAACAAATGTTCTGTGAATGGAGTTTTGTTTGTATAAATATTTGCGGGAAAATTTCAGGTTCATACTCAAGATTTGTCTAACTGTGAAACAAACTTTTAGTTTCAAGACAGAATGAAATTTGATTGGGGAAGAAATGCAAGTAGTTTATAAAGTGCAGGCCATCCCATCAGGAAGAAAACAATATAGTATAACTTTAAATAATGGAAAAAAAAAAAAAAGCTCACAATGAATAATGAATACCAATTATGTGAAAAAGCTCTTGCAATGAGCAGTTCCTGAGCAATTCACAGACACTAAATATGAATCATTTTGAACAGCGAACAAGTTAGTAAAAACCAATGTGAATCACAAACAAGAAAAAAAAAAAAGACTAAATTCACCACATAAACTGTTATTAGGAAATCGATTGCCCATTTCTAGTCCCAACACTTTATTAAGAAACACAGTGCATTACAAGAAAGCTGAGCAGTAGACATGGAGGGTGAAATCCTGGCCCCAACTGAAGTCAATGGCAAAACTCCCATTGACTTCAGAAGGGTCAGGATTTTACCCTAAAAGTTGATCAAGTCTTTATTACATTTAAAATAATACCTGTGAGTTAAACCAAGATACACAAAGTGCTCACTAGGGCCTGATCTAAAGGCCAACCTGGGATTTGGATTGGTACCTAAGCAGAGATATGGCATATTTATCCCACAATTCATGTCTTCATTGTATTGAAATGCTACTTAGATATTTACCATACAAAATTTCTTCTTCTGGTCTTTTCCCAATAATGCTATCTCTGAGCTGGCGTACTTTTTCCTTAAAAAAGAAACACACAAACAACAATAAAAATCAATAACTAGGGTTGATTGTAAAAAAATAATGAATGAATAGCTGGAAAAGGTTGGCTTTTTAGTATTCTGAACCTTTAGCTTCTCACTACAGGAAAATCATTTAAAAAGGCTAGGAAGAATGCTATGCTGCTCTATAGGTGCAGCCTTTTAGTTTCAGCATTTATCCCCAAGCCATCAGCAAGTTATGGCGTATCCAGGACTAGACAGTTACACTGATATCCACATAGATTTAGGCAGTCTGCATCGGTCTTTGTAGCCATAATAAAGGGTAGTCATTTTCTAGCCAATTGAGAAATAAGGTGCTAGTAGAAAGAAACTTTAGGATCTGATCCTACCATCCTTATTCATGATAAGTAGCAATTTACTATGCAAGTAATCCAACTGATTGTCTGCAAAGACATATTGAGTCTTAAATATTTATTTTCTGTTTAAAACAAATGTTTAGTGTGAACAAATTTCAGCCCATGTATTACTTGTGAACTGCAAATTGAAACAGGCATTTTAATGGGGCTGTTCGCAGAATAAAATACTATTCAGCATGAATACTGATATGGTAATAGAATCATGGTCTAAGGGATCTGGAAGATATCCTATTCTTCACTTCACTTCTTTGTACTTCTGATAATTGCTAGTGGGGCTACTGCCAGCATAATGATTTCTTTGTTGCAATACAAAAGTGGTTCCATTTTAGTGGTGGGTGGGAATACAATGATCCCTATATGTATATACCAGACTGTAGCACGTAATTCTGCATGCAAGTTCTTTGAGACCTGTTTAAAACACTATGTAATGTATATACAATGTCTTATATATCTGAAATGGTAAAACTTCCATTAACTGGCTCTATTCATTTTGGGAGTTGGTTCCCCTCCTGCGTATAATTGAGAAGGGTTCAGCTTATTCGGTGAGAGAAGGCTTATGGAGAAGAATTCAAAAAGAATCATTTTTCATACGTGTTACACAGCTTTCATAGATGGTCAAAACAATAAGAACAAGATTTAAAAAAATAAAACAAAACATCAACAAACTGGTGCAAAAGCTATGTTCTAAATTCATAGTTAGGTACCAAAATACTCAACCTAAATTAAATGTTGAGAACCCACTTGGTTTCACTGAAATCAGCTGCTGGGTGCACAATACTTTTGAAAATCAGGGCCCCTGGGTATGTCTATACCACAGCTGGGTGGCCCGATTCCCAGTGTGGACAGACCTGCGTTAGCTCTGCTTGAGCTAGAATGCTAAAAAGAGCAGTGTGGATGTAGCAGCATAGGCGGAGGCTCAGGCTAGCTGCCTGAGTCTATGCTTGCTGAACTCTTGGGTTTGAACTTGTGTGGCTAGCCCAAGTCGCATCTGCACTGCAACGTCCATGCTGCCATTGTTAGTGCACTAGCTCAAGCAGAGCTCGTGCAAGTCTGACTGCCAGTGCTGGGAATCACAGCTGCAGTATAGATGTACGCTTATTTGGATGCCTAAGTGTGGATTTAGGACTCCAAATTTAGGTACCTATTTTTGAAACTCTTGGACAAGGTGCCCTACAAGCAAACATAATCCTTCAGAAGTATACCTGCTGTGGAACTTCTAATCTGCTTTTTTCATTCTGCCATTGTTTAAATTTCTCAAGTGCTTCATCCACAGTAATTGCTCCCTTCTTCACCTGTTCCTGCAAAAGGATCAGTTCGTCCTGTCCAGAAGGGATGTTGTGTCTCAAAGTGGTATAGGTGGAAGTGTCAGTTCGAACTTTGTCTGTAGTTATCAAGTGTAAAGAGTTTAAAAAAAGGCACAGACAGTTAATTCATTTCGAAAACTGTTTTTCTTTTCAATGAAAGCTCATTTTGAGCAAGAGCATGTGAGCAGCAAATCTGTAAGGAGATGGCAATTAATCTTTACCATCGTAACCATGTTTACAGCCAAGCTCTATAGAGAAAAATGCAATGAGCTATTTGCTAGTGTTCTTTTGAAGTAGTGTGTCCTGGTGAACAAAACTTTCAAACTCATTGTCACTTGCCTGATTGGGTCACTCTTCACTAAATTAAGTTTATGTAGCAGCTCCTCTTTTGAGATAGTGCCGTACCATTAATTAATTATGAAATTCCACAGAATTCAAAAGGAAGTCCTGACATAAGAGCTGCCATATTGGGGCAGACGATGGTCCATTTTGCCCTGTATCCTGTCTCCAATCGTGGCCTGTACAAGAGCTTCAGGAGGAGTGTAGAGAATGAGGCAATTATGGAGTGATCCACCCCTGTATTCCATTCCTGGCTTCTGGCAGTCAGAGGTTTAGGGTGGCCCTGAGCATGGGGTTGCATCCCTGACCATCGTGGCTAAGAGCCATTTATATGATGCCAAGTTATTGGCTTTATAAACCATAACATTACTTGGGGATAGGAGTGGAAGATCCCAAATTCCCATTAATATCAATTTCCCTCACTCCCCAAACTCCCATCAATATCCATTTTCCTCTCCCCCCAAATTCACATAGCATATTTCCCAATAGCTTGTGCTGAGAGTAGGTTAGAAGCTGTTTTGAATTTTCATATAATTCACTCAGAAAATATGCAGGGTCAAAAAGAAATCTTATAATTTATATGTAGCTTCATAGGACTAGATTCTAACTAATCCCTATATAGGTGTGCAATTGAAGGGAAGTAATATGGAGTTCTATGCTGCCACCCTCACAGTTTAGCCCATACGTTCTTAGTATTCTCAGCTATTGGAATGGCTGCTTGGGGGCAAAGGCAGCTGGGAGTAGGTTAAAGCAGCCCAGAGGCTGCTCTGATTTTTTGAGGGATTCTGAAATAGCTCTGTCAGCCCCAGAATCAGGGAACTAAAAAAGGTGGCATAATACCACTGCTGGTCCGCTCTCCTTGGCTCCTACACAGAATGCAGCTAGACTGAATCTCAGAATTGGAGCCATAGTATTTGTCTTTACCTACATGTAAGCTCTTAATTGATTATGTCTGATTCCTTACTGTGTCATGCATGACATCCCTTTGTTCTACATGAGGGATGACCAGCTGTGCAAAGGGAAATATACCTTGATGAAGAGAAAAAAAGTCATTATTGAGCCCCATTCTGCTCTTTTCCAAGATTATTAAGTACCAGCATACGTTGGCCATGAATCTCCACCACTTTGCATCTCTGATAATCATTTACATTTGTGCTAAGAGAGTGCAAATTACTATACCAGACAGTGGAAAAATCAAACCTAAAACATTTTACAGGAATAACCTTTGTAGGGATACACTAGCAATGCTCCATTACTAAATGTTGCAGTTATTGAATCATTACCCAGAAACATCCTATATTTCAACACTTATTTTTTTAATGAATTTAGTGCAAAAAGAGACACTGACAGCACTGGCAAGTGGAGTTCTCTGTTTATTCACTGAACAGACAACTGCAATGCAGCTTCCCTACTCTGCTTCAACTAATACACCCTAATCCTGACCTAGAGGGGCTATTTCCTGGAAGGATAATTCTGTCTCTACTCCATGTGCATTCATTTAACGATAACAATGCTAGTTATGCTAGGATACCAATTAATGCCAGTTGCGGTGGTTATTTAGTGATATGGACTCTTCTCAAATAGCAATTGGGCTGGGACCAGCAACTCATTTTACATGGGCCACAAAGCAGCCATGAGATAAGCTTTGGTCACTTGCTATTGACTCAGGCAGGTGTGACAAAGTTCCTCCTCTATCTTGGTGTGTCCTGCGCTTATTGGCGGATTTTCTTGCCTCAGAGATTCACCATGTGGGTTGGGGAACAGCCCAGAGACCCTCCCCTCTGGGAGAACCCACAGTCCAGGTCAATTGGGAGGTTTGGGGGAAACCCGGGCCCACCCTCTACTCCAGGTTCCAGCCCAGGGCCCTGTGAACTGCAGCTGTCTATAGTGCCTCCTGTAACAGCTGCATGACAGCTACAACTCCCTGGGCTACTTCCCCATGGCCTCCTCCAAACACCTTCCTTATTCTCACCCCAGGACCTTCCTCCTGGTGTCTGATAACGCTTGTGCTCCTCAGTCCTCCAGCAGCACACCCTCTCGCTCGCAGCTCCTTACACCTCTTGCTCCCAGCTCCTCACACTCCCACCACAAATTGGGGTGAGCTCCTTTTTAAAACCCAGGTGCCCTGATTAGCCTGCCTTAATTGATTCTAGCAGCTTCTTCTTAATTGGCTCCAGGTGTCCTAATTAGCCTACCTGCCTTAACTGGTTCTAGCAGGTTCCTGATTACTCTAGTGCAGCCCCTGCTCTGGTCACTCAGGGAACAGAAAACTACTCATCCAGTGACCAGTATATTTGCCCTCAACCAGACTCCTGTACCCCACTGGTCTGGGTCTGTCACACAGGTTAGAACTGATGCACAGCGTACGTATGAGTCACCCAGTTCCTCCTTTTTTAGTTTTAATCATTATAGCGAAAGGTGATAGAAAAGTGCAAAGTCATTTTTGCTTTTTCATATGTTTCCAAAAAGCTTTTATAAAGCCCCTCACTGATTTGCTTTGTTAAAATAATAACTTTTTATTTATTTGAATTGATTTTTATAAGCTGAAATACTATTGGGGATTTAGGCCATCCTGGTAGGAAAAAAAAGATATTAAATAATCCAAGAAAAAATCAAGCCAGAGCAACACTCTCATAGTCCTATTAAGGAGCATCAAGACAGTTAAAATAGCAAAATGAGGTTCCACACCTTGTTTCCTGAAAGCATAGTACATCTTCTCGTTATCACTCTGAGTTCTGGTGCCCTTTTGCTGAAACACTGCAACAAAATTAAAAATGTTAGGAAGCTGGTCACAATTACACAATAAGGAGATAGCTTAATGCTTATCAGAACTTCAGTGTCCTGCAAGGTAATTTTGGACCATTGAAAATAAGATGGAAGAGAAAAAAAATCTCTCTCTCAATGTATACCAGAAGCATTTCTGGAATTTGCTCATGTGAAAGAAGAATGCACAAAAAGTAATGCTGTGGAAAGGAAACTGGATGCCAAAGTGATATAGAGTAGTTGGAAGACTCAATGACAAAGTAGAATCAACTTCAAGTAGTTGAAGTCCAAAGAATGAACTCTTTTGCAAGCACAATAAGGTGCAGGAACAAATTCAGATATTTATGAAAGAGAAGACTAAAAAGGTGCTAAAATGTGCAGAGACTCAGTGCAAGTGAAGAGCAAAACACACAGGGGAAAAAAAAAACTTCTATTGGAGAATGTCTGGATGTGCTTTGCCAGTAACAGAGAGAAAAGACAGTACCAGGAAGAAATGTATTCTGCCTTCCATTCAGGGTCATTCAGAGAGACGAGAAAAGAAAAGCTAGTTCTTAATGGTGGAAAAAGTTGCACAAAATCACAAAAGGAACAGAAAGCCTGTTTATAATGAAATGATTCCAGATCATAGCAGTCTGTTAAAAGCTTTTGAAAAGCAGGCCCCCTGAACACAAATGGGCAAGGAATCTTTTAATTGTGACCAGAGTAAGGAGAGGATGACCAATGAAGAATGTCCATAGATGTGTAGTAACACTGCTTATTATGACCAAAAAAACAAACAAACCCCACAACCACCTATGGATTCCTTCGTTAGGGCTGGAAGGAAGATAGCCTTTGTAAAGCTTTGAAAAGGGGTTATTTGTCCTCTTTAAGACCGCTGTAGTATTGCAACCTGAGAACCTTAGCACCACTACTAGTTAATCTGCCACAAGAACTATTAAGAGTGCACAAGCTGTTAGCTACTACAGCTCTCCTAATAACAGTTTTAAAACTGTACCTCTGTGTGTGTTTGGATTTAGCTTGCACTGGACAACACAACTACTGACTACAAAAATACCCAGATCTTTCCTATGAAACTCTGTGGAGAAGAAATTTTTTTTGTACATGTCTAATCATGATTTTTCTTTTAACCCTTTTTTGTAGTTATGTCTTTTTACTACTAATTTGTAAAGTTGTTTTGTTGCATAGAGAGACATGATTTTAGCCAGCCACAGAGTGCCCACATATTATGGTGAAGGGTATTTTAGAAAACAACAAAACAAAACAATAATAATTAATAATAAATAGACACATTATCACATTAGTGACATATAATTTGTATTACAATGTTTACAAATAATTGCTAAACATCATGGGCCTGCTTTTGAGCTCAGTTAAACTGGTGCACATATTGCATTCTATTGATGCAAATTGAATTACTCCAATGAAGTCAATGGAGTTAACATTGTTTGATCAGAATTTGGACCCAAGAGTGAAAGGTATAGTGCAGCATTTAAAACTTGTCTGAACCCATGGAACTCCTGAATTTTAATTCCATCTCTGGCACACATTCTGTTTATTGCACTGGACAGGTTGTTTAACGTTTCTGCCTTAGCTTTGCAACCTGTAAAATAGGGCGTAATTGTTGGCTGCCTCACATGGGAAACTGAAATGATTAATTAAACCATTTTTTAAAAGTATTTTGGAAATAGAAAACATTTATGTTAGTGCTATGTACTATTACTTATAACAGTAAACAGAAGAAAACAATCTAAATGAATGTGAATTAATAGCAATTGCTAATGTTTGTTTGTCCTTTCCTAATTACCAGCAATTACAATTTAGTTGGTTTCTTAATCAGAAACAAAATTAAGATGCAGTAAATGAATTCTGCAATTTACATATGATATCTGCACAATACACAGTGCCCAATAACGTATGTAATACAACTATATGAAAAAGAATGTGTAGTCACATAGAATTCTAAGGATAAAGCATTTGAGTCCCCATCCTACAAACATTTAACATGTGAGTAATTTTATTCACGTGAACAGACACATTGAGTTCAGTGGGACTATTTAAGTGCATATAGTGCATTAAATTGTGGGCCTGTAGCCTTAGAATTGAGGGCGCTCAGCATCTTTTCATGATCAAATCCTATGAAGCAAAGCTTTTAAGCACATGCTTATCTTTAAGCATGAGTACCCCTACTGAAGTCAATATATTTCTGTATTTCCAAGGCCTCTATTTATTTCATCTTATCTTTTTCATATTCTAGAAATTGATAGCCAGACCTGTAAGAATCTAATCTCCCCCCGTTTTATATCATCCAGGAGCTTTTCTATTATGACACTATCCCATACTCTTCTAAGACTAAGAATATTGTCAGAAGGCTCCTTTCTCGTCCAAAACACTGCCAAAATGCAGATCTGATGCTATCAAAAGGTGTGAGCAATTTTTTATTATGGGGTGTCTAGATCTTTTTATTTGTAAGCCCCCAAAGTTTTACTAATAGATCCACTGGTAATTTCTCTTTTGTTCTGTCCATGATGAAGTTTAAGATAATTGACTAATATTCCTTTGCTTAGGAATTTTTCTACCAAATACAGCTAAAGGCATGAGTTGTCTGACACATCTCTGTAGATTTCCTTTAAAGGAGAGGTTGTCAGGTACCACTTTAATAGCACTTATGATTATTTTCTTTTATAGTTACACATACGAAAGAGGAGCTGCTGTATGGCAAATAAAAGACCACAGCTCTAGGAGCCAGATCCAAAGACCAATAAAGACAAAGAAAAGATTACCATTGGCATCAGTGGGCTTTGAATCAAGACCACAGGGAATTTTCTTATCTATAACTTTTCCCACTTATTAATATAATTACATTTGTCTTCAATGGCAAGTGTTGGAATATTTAATATTTGAAATTACTAATATTAATATCAGAGACCACCTGACTAATTTAACCGTAAATTCCTTTATTAAGGCCAAAGGCCAAATGGTATTTTATGCAATTGCTATAGGCATGCCTAACAGCTTAAAAATAAGCAGTCACTACACCCAATACAGTAACAAAGTATTCATAAGCATGCAATCAGTATACTTACAAATAGGCCAGAGCTAGGGAAAACCATCTCATCCTGGTGAACTCCAGCATGATCAGGTAGGATCTGACAAAGAACCTTCAGATTCATGGCTCTCTTTGTACCTGCAGTTAACTTGCTGACTTTAGCAAAAACCCAATTTCCTTCCTCTAAGGCCTTCCTTTCTTATCTCCTCGCCCCTTCTTGCTCACCAGCAGAACAGTGGGAAGGGTTGTGCTTGTTTCTTTTAAGACAGTTTTTCTTTGTCTTGTTACTGCAGCTCTTTATTTTATTAGTTACTTTTTGAACCATACATCCTTCCCACATGATAAGCAATAGCCAGGTTATATGTCTTCTTATTTCCACAACCTTCTTTTACTTACTGATTGGGACCTTTTCTTTATTAGCCATGAATAATAAAGCAAATATATTATTTTCTTAACCAAAAAACCTAACTTTAATTTTCTTAATTATCCCTACAGCAAGTTTAATAAAAGTTCATTATATAGTTTTAAAATTATGCCCTTGGAGGCTATAATTTTTTTAATCTCGGTGAGTGATCTCTTAAAGCCTACTTCTTTGTCAAGAATTTAAAATAAAATGTTTTAATTGTGTACAGTTAGATACTAGTATATCTGTATTGAAAACTCTTTATAATATCTCTGTGTCCATTATTTTCTCCCCTCTAATTACTTCCCCTCCTCTTTACAGGTTGACTGTTTTACAGGTTAATTTTTTCTCGTTTGTTAAACATGGGATGAGTATCTCCTGGGGGGAATTGCTGTTAGAGAAGAATCCTTATCTAGTCCCAGAATTTTAAAACAGATGGGGACCCTTTTCAGCAAGTTTCAGGTATTTTAATAAGAACATTATATATCGTAAAAGGTTACTGAAATCTTCCTGCTTCATCTTAGAGTCATAGGATTAGAAGGGACCACAAGGGTCATCTAGACTAATCCCCTGCCTAGATGCAGGATTTGTTGTGTCTAAACACATCCAAGACAGATGGCTAACCAGTCTCCTTTTGAAAACCTCCAGTGAAGGAACTTTTACAACCTTCATCTGGTGTTCAAGACTGCCTCCTTCTTACAATCTTATCAAAGCCCATTACATTACATATCACCAACACTATATCATTTTCTTTAATTAACCCTGATGATCTTATTACATTAAATATATTGTAAAATAGAAAATTGCAATATTCTAATATCTTTATGGGGATTTCTATTGGAAGGATTTGAAAGAAGACCCAAAATGGTCATTTCTGCCATTAAATATTTTAAAAATCTTTTCAGTAAAGGCTCATAATTTGCTTCACTTAATTTTTCCAGAAGGAGGTAATATTAGATGTTAATACAAATATATTTGCCCAATGGATTTTAAAGTTTTTTTGTAAAGATTTGTGGGTATCCTAGTTTAACTCTCTTTGCTATATATCATCTTGATTTATCTTTCTTTTGTTACTATTTTTTCAGGTATCTTATACCAAAGATGATTAAAGCATAGCTTTTCCTAGCATTAACCTTTAATATGTTTGTTTTGTGAACTTTATTGGATAATATTTTAATCTGTTTAAGTTAACTTGCTCTTGAGTATGTTTGATCATTACATTCACGAGTTACATTCTGACTTGCTCACTATTAATGCAGTTATTGCAGTTTCTTGCTGCTGCTGTCAGATTTGCCCTGTGAGGAGTAAAATGTCAATTCCTCTTTTGTGAATGAGACTAAGGATAAAGTGTGAGGAGGGACCAGAGGAGAGGGAGTTATCTTTGTCCAAATAAAAGTGAAAAATTATGTCCTTGCATTAAGCGCACCATTTCCATAGATGAAAACAGAATCTGTGCATGTGCATTTTGGGATAGAATTTGTCCCCAAACTTTTACACATGCTAGTATGGGGTTATCTTTATGTTACCAAACATATGGAATTATCT